CCCTATGCACACTTTGGGGTTTCACACCTCGAGTTGGCTGGTACGTAACGTACCAGCGTATCACATTTAGCTCCATAAACGTGAAGGCAGCTTCAAATTCCAAGGAGGCGATCGTGAGTCACATGCTTAGAGTAACAGTCATCGCAAGGTTGATGTACGCAGTTGTAGGTAGTCAACAGAACGACATCGCGGTCCCCCATAACTCGAGGGGGACTCCGGTACCTGGCTTCGACATCATACCTGTGCATTCATATGCAGTGTACGGAGTAAATGGGTCGAGAAATCGGTCACTCGTATCCAGTACGTCTTCCAACTTACTACCTATGCTGGTGGTGGGCGCTCTGCTATCCTGCCGGTCAATCCCTCGCCGAGGGACACCTAACCAACCTTACATACTACGTAGTAAGCAGGCAGCTAGGGCTAACTAAGTCAGTGCAACTCTGCAGCTATTCGGCATCGTCATGTCACTCCACTTTCAGAGACCAACCTGTTGTCTCTATTCTATTTATCCCGGACGCGCTTGGGTCAGGGCAGCCTGAACTTTGCCATCCCTTGCTTGCTGCTGCTGGCTTGACTAGGTCCTTGGCTTGGCTAACAGACCACCTACCTACCTACCTACTACGTAGTTGGTAGTTGGTGAATTCTCACAAAACAGCTTGTTTCGTCCACAGTGAAATGTTGCAAGAAGGAACAACACTCTGTGCCGTTTCCAACAGTCCTGCTGGCTGCCCACTTCCCTTGTAGTTATGATTCCCTTTCTTGGTTGTATTGCAGATGCATGTGGGAGGGAACATTGATAAACGACTTGCTAGGGAACCCCAAAAGAGCAAATCCCAACAGCAATAAAACAATACCTGGACCACGCTGTTCCAACCAGGTCGTTGTTTCTTTACTTTTCTGCTCAAGTAAACAGGCCCCTCGCTTGCTGTACCCTTCACTTCTTAATTCTTTCTTTCAGTACGGATAACCCCTTAACATATCCACTTTGTTGACTTCCAGCCGAGTCTGCCACGTTTCATTTATTATGCAACATCGCAACACCTCATAACATCGGGTTACTTTTCAGTAGGCATACCTCTCGGATAACCTCTGATATGCATTATGAAAACCGTCTGCGGCTCCCAAAGGCTGCATCAGAGTTGCTGCATACACCGCATTCGAGACCTCAGACACTCGCAACGGACTAGGACCAGTACCCGCGGCCGAGTCGATACCCTAGGTACCTGGAGATGACGCGAACAAGGGTGGGTTGATTCTCTAGGAACTAGAAGACCATCCTCTCCCTTTCTCGATGGATCAGGAGTTTTCCCTCTGTCATCCGCTGTCTTGCAGAGATAACCAACTAGGTACTGCTCTCTCCCCAATGAGCATGTTCCGCCGACACTTGTGCTGTACCTCACATCGCACCCCAATGCTGAGAGGCAATCGTGGTATTTTCATGACCTCGACATACGATGTGCTTTAATCAAATTTTCCTTTTCCCTTTTTGAACTTTGTACATTATGTAGCCTAACCCCCTTCTTCACCTTGCTCTTCAAGCCCCCAAGGCTGAAGGAATCCCCTTCCGGCTCCACTCGCCGACCCTCTCCTGGTCACACGTCTCCCAAACCCTCCTTCTCAGCGCCCGATACAGCCGTCTCGTCTCCCGGCTATCCGCGTCGATTCGCTCCACCTTGTCCTCGGCCGAGGGCTCGCCGCCGCCGCCACACCTGGCCTCCTGCGCCTCCAGCCAGCTCACGATGCCGAACCTCGTCGCCAGCGTCGTGCTCCCGCCCTCGATGCATGTCGCTCGCCAGAGCACCCTCAGGATCCTCGTCCGCAGGTTCGCCCGCATGTACGGGTTGCCCGCGAGCGCAAACACCTTCTCGAACCACTTCTTCTGGTGGTACACGGCCAGGTCCGCCGGCGTGCGCAGGCCGTCCAGCAGGTACGCGAGCAGCCAGCTCACCTCGGTATAGTACTTGTCATCGTCGGACGGGGCGCCGTGTAGGATGTCGTGCGCCAGCGGCACCTTGTCGTGCTGCCACACGGGCCCGCGCGTGAGGAAGCTGTTGACCTTGGCGTAGAGGCAGTGAAGCGGGTTCTTGAGCACCTCGAGGGCGCTGATGGCGAAGGAGACGAGCGGCGAGGGAACGGGACCGCGGGCGACGAGCACGCGTGACGACTCGGCAAGCTCCGAGAGGAGGAGCCAGATCTGATCCTTCTCTTCATAGGTTGATTCTTTGAACTTGGCCGCCATTTTCAGGATGTTTGTAAGGGCCTCCTGGCGGATGCTGGCGTGCTCCGACCACAAGAGACGGATGAGCGCCGCGGCGTAGCCTTCGTCTACAAGGTCCTCGACGCTCTTGAAGTTCCATTTCAGGAGCGCCGAGTTATCTTCGTCGGGGCCGAACGGCACGTCCAGGATCGCTTCCAGTGAAGAGTCGTCGAGCTCTCCGTTCACAATGACCGGCTTTTGCCGTTGGGGCCCGGCGCCGTTGACTTCAGAGGCAGCTCCCTCGCCCGCCTCGCCCCCGAGCAAAGCAACGTCAGCCTTTGGGACGACGGCCGGCGCCCGACCTACCAGAATCTCCGTCATCTTCTTGGCAAAGACACCGATCACAGCTGGGGCCTCTCCGTTTGTTTGGGCGCAACTCAAAAGCACCGTTAAGAACTCGGACAGATGCTCCAGGTCCTTCTTGTCCGTCGCTTTGTCGGCGACGAACGGCAGCTGCTCGACCACAGTGGCCAGGATCAAGCTGGTCGAGTTGCCTACCTGGCCCTCGGTGACGCTCTCCTGCATCAATTCGACGTACTTGAGCGGCGACGCCGCGCATCTCCCGGCGCAGTTGTCGAGGTATTCCCAAATGAGGTCCAGGTTCCGCGGCTTGCCGCCCTTTTTCAGCTCCCGAGCCGCGCGGAGCAGGGGGGTGAGGCCGACCTGTTGCAACACAAGCTGGTGTTGCACCGCCACAGACTCAAGGACCTCCTTCAGCTTCGACCGCCCCTGCGCATTCTCGACGTAGAACTTGAGCAGTGCGACGAACGGCGACGCCGCAAGGCCCTCCGTCTTGGCGAACCACCTCATGCCCGGGGAGTACCCCGCGATAGCAATCAAGTTCTCCAGCTCCATCAGAGCCAGGGCCTGGTTCTGCGGCTCCTCGGCCCTGCTATCGAGGCGCGTGAGCGACTTGACCAGGAACGGTGAGACGTCAAAGTTGGCCCGCAGCGCGACCTGCGGTATGACCTCATAGTACAGCAGCAACAGCCTGCTGGCGGCCTCGCGCTGCAGGACATTCTCCTCCGCCATGGCCTTGTAGCACTTGGTCACCTCCTTCATGTCGGGGATCTTCTGGTAGAACTCGTCGATGAGCTTACGCGCCGCCATTTCCCAGGTCGACTTCGACGATTCGGCCGCCTCGCGATGCATCTTCAGGGCGACCTCGAGCTTTTGGAGGGCAAGGACGAGGATGCGGATGGCGAAGAACGAGATGAGGGTCGACTTGTTGGAGAGACAACGGACAAGGTCTCGCTGCTTGAGCGGGAGCGGCAGAATGTTGTCGAGGAGGATCGAAGTCGGTGGGGGAACTCGGCGGTAACCTGTTGTTGGACCGTAATGCGGTGGTAACGGCAGATTTACCGTGTTGAATAGGAAGGCGGCGTACCCAATCCACGTCATGGACAGCTTCGGCTCGAAGGTAAAGGACTTGTTGTTCAAGAAGTAGCTGGCAACAAGCTCCGGCGCCGCCTGGAAGATGGCGACGATGAGCTCGCTGTGTTTCAGACTCGACCACGGCCGCAGTTTTTGAATGAATTCTGAGAGCACAAAGTTGGCGACGGCGATATCGTCCTTGTACTTGTCCATCCACGCGATGCGCTCTAGACCGTAGTCGTCTAGGCTCTTAACGTCCTGTGCCGCCTCATCCTCGAGCTCCTTCGGGTAGATGCCGGTTCCAGAGTAGAGAACTCCGGCACCAGGCGTCGTGCAGGTGTAAAGCAGAAATTCGTGAACGGACCCCCTGACAGAAGGCTTGCCGTCTCCCTCAACGTCATGTCTGTACGCATACAGCCCAGCCAAGCGGTCCAGGGTCTTTGTGTTGAAGGTCCGGAACTTGACCTCGCGTGGCAGCTTGTCGTCCAAGAGCACGTGCTTCTTCAACGCGGCCAGCATCTCGAGAATAAGGTACGGCGGGTCGTCCTTTAGCAGAAACGTCAGATGCGAAAACACCTCCTTGAGCATCAGCATCTCCTTCTTCGCCTCAGCCGGCAGGAACTTGAGACAGCTCAGGAACAGCTTGATGGCGTTCGTCCGCACCGACGGCCTCGACGGGTCCTCAACGCTGCTGTTCTTCTCACCGTCGGCGGCGCCCCCGAGGTGCCGAATCTCCAGGTTGCGCGCGAAGCTCGCAAACGTGTGGTCCCGCGCGCGGAACACCCGCCTTGCCAGCGTCCCGCCGTCGAGCATCACGAGCTCGCGCACCAGCCGCAGCGTCGGCGAAATGACGTACCCGCTGCCCTTGGGCGCCGACAGACACCGCGCAATGAGCTTCAGCTGGCGCTCCTGCAGCAGCGTGCGGGCGATGTCCAGGGCATGCGGGAGCAGCTCGAGGGTCTGCGAGGCGACCTGCAGCAACAGGGCCAGCACGGCGGGCACGGCGGACATCATGGCCTCATTGTTGACCTGCGCAGCGTACGACCAAGTCTCCATTATGTCACCGAGGTGGACGGCGTTGTCGCTCGTGTCGCGCGGCCGGGCGGCGTCGAGGTACTCCCGAAGAGTGGTGAACCGGTCCTTGTTGTCGCCATTGCCAGAGCTGAAGCCGTCCAGGAAGACCTTGAGGGACTGGATGCCTGGGAGAAAGCGGAAGAATTAGTTCCGAGGCGTTCAATGCCAGTCAGAGAATGCGTCTTACCGTGCCGCGCTCGTTTTTGGTCCTGGTCAAAGGTCAAGAGCTGCTGGAGGTGTCGCGAATGGTTGACCTCTTCGAAAGTCGGAGCTTCATGCACGACCTTCTGCCTCTTGCGCAAGACATCTGCGCCCTCGAGTCCGCGAGAAGGACGTTTGACCATCTTTTAGGCGGTGAAGTCTCGTGGGGAGGGGAATATTGGACGGTATTACGGAGGTGTGCGAGCAACGAATATTCCCGTCTGCTGCCTCTCTCCTCTCTCACTCGCTCTTCCAATTCCTCCCAAGATCCGGGCAGTGGACCCCGTCAAGAAATAAAAAGTTCTGCCGGCCTCCACCGCTCGGGACACAGTCCGTTCTAAGGTTAGCGCGGGGATCGGAGGGGCATTTGGAGGTGCCGCCAGCAGGGGGACAACCCGCAATGACATTTCACCGAGCGCTGGAAACCCAAGCCTCCGATTTCTAGAATCACCACCAGCACGCCAGACCTCACGATCCTGCGAGACCTCTGCGGGAAATACCCCCATCGAGCTCGACCGAACTGTGAATCGACACAGCAATCATTTACCATGGGTTCCATCGTCATCCCGCATCTCAATAGTGGCTGGCACGTCGACCAAGCGATCCTCTCCGAGGAGGAGCGCCTTGTTGTAAGTCGCAATCCGGCTCAACCCTGTAGGCGGACAGCAAGTATCTAACAGTAGAAACACAAAGGTCATCAGGTTTGGGCGCGATGCCGACCCGCAATGCATGCAGCAGGATGAGGTCCTCTACCGCATCTCCGAGCGCGTCAAGAACTTCGCCGTCATCTACGTTTGCGACATCGACCTGGTCCCCGACTTCAACCAGAGTACGTCTCCCCCACCCCAACGATCACTCGTCACTCCCTTTATGGTCAAAGTGCCATATAAGAGCCGGAGCGGGCTGCTGACAGACCTTCTCCATGTCAGTGTACGAACTCTATGACCCCTGCACAATCATGTTCTTCTTCCGCAACAAGCACATGATGGTCGACTTTGGAACGGGTAACAATAACAAGGTACGCCGCGGATCCTTTTGCACCCCGCCTCCCCCTAAAAGCTTCGTGTGGCCACTTTTCTGACTCTGTCGCGTAGCTCAACTGGGTTCTCGAAGACAAACAAGAGCTTATAGACATCATCGAGACGGTCTACCGCGGCGCCAAGAAGGGTCGCGGTTTGGTCGTCAGTCCGAAGGGTAAGGACCCAGCCTCCCTTCCCTGTCGAGTTCTTCTTCCCCCATATGCACGCAATCTTTGTTGAACACGTGGATTATTATTCACTTCTTCACTAACACTCGTCTCTCTCTAGACTACTCAACCAGGCACCGATACTAGTCACACCTTGAACACGGCGATGGATACAGCACCGTCACGGTCGCATAACACATGCACATCCGCTCATCTTGTCATCCGTGCAGTGTGTACAAGGCATAAAGATAGCAGGAGTCCCCGGGAAAGATATAGGGTTGGTCTCACATAATCAAAAACACTTAGCAAGTTTGAACTCGAAAGGCGCTAATTATCGTGATCCCAAGAATCGTGATATCTTGATTGAATTCTTTTCATCATTAAGGCTAGGTACGCCCCCACTTCCCCTTGTATCCTCCCTCTATATATCATCCGTCGTGATATGACGATACGTAAGTAGCTTATGTTTCGCACTCTCCCCGTATTGAACATGACGGTCGTGGTTACTGCTCTCAGCCCAAGCTGTGAAATAATGCCCCTCCACCTTCTCTTCGACCGTCGGGCTGGGCGAGTAACCCTACATCGCATGTAAATTATGTAGATTTTAGGCGATTAAGCCTGTTCCGTGCATGCCGCGTCCCTCGTTAAAGCATCTCCCCTTGAGACGGCATCTTGGTTAGGAAATTGGTCGGCACCTTGGGTACCTGATGCGCAGCGGCCGCCCGCTCAGCACGGAACAGCTCTTGTTGTCGATCATTGTCACGCGATCTGCCCCCCGTCAAGCGACGCATCCGCGATCTCGTGCTCTGCGCGAGCGGTTTGATCATACTCTCCAAGGAAAAGGAGCCCTCGCCGTTACCCGTGTTCGGTCGCTCGTCGTCAGCGTCCGAAAAGACGTCCTCGAGGAACTCGTCGTCCGACGCAAACTCGCTAATGTGAGGCTGGTACGACGCAGGCGCGGACGGGGACGTGATGGACCTGTAGTGGAGACCCGGCCGCGAGCCGCCCCCCATTCCGCCGGTGGCCGACGACGACGACGCCGCGCTAAAAGCTCCAGGGTTCATCGTGTTGGAGCTCGGGTCCCTGGCCGTAGCTGGTGGCCTGTCAGTAAACCCATTCTGGAATGTGCTGTTGTTCGAAGCCTGATGCAGGATTGGCAGGATTTGCTCATCATACAACTGCGCTCCGGACTCGAAGCTGTCCGGCGAGAACTCAGTGATGGTCTTCGATGAGCGGTCGTCGCTGGGTGGGCTCGTTCCGAGATCGTCGAAGAAGTCGTCAAGGCTGTCTAGCTTCGTCACGAGGTCGCTGAGGTGTCCGTCTGCGCGGCCCTCATCGGACATCATCGTCTCAGTCCTGTCAGGCATCTGGAAGTAGCTGTACGGGAAGTCGTCGTTGTGGAATTCGACGTCGGGAGTCGGGGTCGCCTCCGTGAGGATTCCTTCAGCGGTCTGGCACATGTAGAATGCGGCGTGGATGTTGGCGCGCGTGGAATCCGTCTTCTTGGCCGGAATCGGAATGGCCCATCCCGTGGCTTCCGGGATGCCGAACAGACTCTGTGTCCGCTCGTACTCCTTGCGAATCGTCTTGGACGTAGAACGCGTCATGCTCATCCTCAGGTGCTGCTTGTCCATGGCGCTGCCCGACATCGTCATAATGTTGTCCAACACCTCCAATGCCTCCATGCAGAACTCGGTCTGCAGCAAACGAAGAAGGGGAGAGATGAGATCGGAACCGTGGCCGGCGAGGTCGGGCCTCCGCATGTCAATCTCGGGTATAACAATGCTGAGGATTCTCATGGTCTTGAGCTTCACCCACGCCGTGGCGTTCGTAAGCAGGCCCATCAAAAAGATGATCATCTTGAAATCCAGCTTGGGAAGGAAGTGATCCTTCAACGCGGCGAAGAGACGGCTTTGGAACTCCCTGCTGTTACCCTGGTACTTGAACGTGACGTATTCCCCAAGGAGTTCGGCAATGTTGCGGAACCCCTGGACCTCGCAGACGGCGCCCAGAATGCTGGCGGATTGCAAAGCTTGCTCGCTAGGCTCGTCCTGCTCCATCTCGTGGAGGAAGCGGGGGAAGTTGGCCAAGACGGCAAAGAACAGCCGACTATCGTCACCGATGAGGCCGTCGCTAGGCAGTTGGACGAGCTTGTCGAGTGTGCTAAGAGTGGCCTCCATACACACGGAAGATCGCATTCCCTTGTACAGCAGAGACTGAAGGCCCTCAAACTGGCCGTCCCATCTCGAGGGCTGGCCGTCGAGCAGAAGCCTGCGGACGTTGAGTGACCGGAAGTCGATCTTTGTCAGAAACTCGTTGAGCATCTCCACAGCCTCGAGGAACTCGCGCTCGTTGATAGACTCCAAGCAGGCACATGTTGTCCAGAAGAGCTGGGGGAACGTAAGTAGCTTGTCCGCATCGAGCTTCAGGATAAGCGTCTTGAGTGTGGTAAGGATCTCCATCGCAAAGGTCTGGATCTCGGTATCTTCGTCGGCGATTGTGTTTGACAAGCGTGCGAGCATATCTCCCAACATGAACTGATCCAAGGAGGTGAGGATACATCGGAAGATCTGGAATGAGCGACAGGCGAGGTGTCGGACGGGACATGACGTTGCCCATGTCAGCGACAGCCTGCCCCACTGATCCTTGATACCTGGGTAGGTCATCTCGAACGTCTTGACTACCTCTGCGGTCAAAAACTCCATGCTTGGGGGCACCTTGTTGTCGTGATCATCGGCCTTGCCGTTGCTGTCCTCGTAGCCCCAGACGACTGAGCGATCGTGACGACGAATCAAGTCGATGAGATCCTCAATCGATGCTCTAGCCGTGGTCTCCGTCTGATCATCAAGGCGAGAAATAACGAGCTCATGGATGAGATGGACCAGCATCTCCCTAGCTTGCTCTTGGACGAGAGGAGTGTAATGATCCCAAAGTACCGTTACCACCTGAAGGAGCACCGGTACGTTCTCGGGGGTTAGATGCACAGGAGACACCATGAGATCGACCAGCAGGATCAGCGAGAGCTGTCCTAGAGAGAACCCAGCTTGCTTCGTACCCACGGGGAGTGCCTCTCCCAGGTCTGCGCAGTAAGGCAGGAGGCCAATGTCTGGTGGCGGCGGCATAGCATCCTTCTTCTCGTTCGGAACCATTGCCTTGGGGGTAATCTGCATGAGGAGAAACTCAACAACCTTCATGCCTGGCGTACTAGAAGTGCTGGAGAGGAAAACGACAATCTGCTTGGCATACTCGACAAAGTTTTGCTCCCGCCGCTCAAGGCACAGAGAGATGATGAAGTCGAGAATCAATCGAACATTCCCCGGATAGGGACCAGTGGCGAGGGCTTGCCACAGCGCCTGAACCTCGTTGTGCAGTGCGCCGCTCGATTTGATGGTGATCTCTAGCAAGTTGGCCAAGAGAACGTAGGACTGTGACGTGGGGCCGCCATTGGGGTCAACCTTGAGCTCGATTGACTGGATCCAGGGCAGTATGACAGCTACGACGTTGCGTTGTGAGGCAGGCTGAAGGTCTTTAAAGTAGAGGGTAAACTCCGAGAAGATGTGGAATGCCAGCTCGGTATGCTGTTTTGCAAGTCGTTTCGAGATCTCGAACTGGGCCAGCTTATACACCGCCTTCGTTTTGTCGGAAATACTAATGTCGTAGTCCTGGATCTTGGAGGTTCGGCCTGGCTGCTGCCTCTCTTCAAGCGACCTCATCAACCGGGCAGACTTGGATCGTATTTCGCTCTCATCGTTACCGAGCGTGAAGAGGCAGAGCCCAAGCAGCTTCCAGAACTGGCACGAGTAGTCGAGATGTTCCAGCAAAACTTGAGTCACGACAGCAAAGTAGCTCTCCTGAACCTTTGAAACGTCAGACAGGTAGCAACGAGCGATGCAGTGCTCTAGCAGGTACGGCAGCTCTTGGTTGTGGATAATCAGGTTCTTCAGAGCCCGGCGACCGATTACGTTCATACGGTCGCTGCCCGAGTTGAAGATGGCCTCGATCCAAGCGAGCATTCTCCGGATATCAAACTGGAGTGTTGCGCCACTCTCAGTGGTTATGCTCATCGGCCCACCACAAAGGGCAGCCATGGCACTGAGAGCAGCCGTGCGGAGGTTTCGCTTCTCGATCTCCATGGCTGCAGTAACTGTGCCTCTCTCTCCGAGGGACTGCTGGTCGATAAGAGACTGCCGCATGGTATCCTCCCGGACGCGGATCTGGGTTTGGTTGGGCGAAAACCCGCACCAGTCTTCCATCAAAGAGAAGGCGGACTTGCGGGATTCAAATGTCATCCACCGGGAAGGGTCTTTCGTCCGGTTGATTCCCTCGAAGAGCTCCTCTGTCAGGCCGCAGTAGTGGCGCCTGAGCTTCTGAAACTCCCAGTCCATTTGTACTTCTCCATCCATCAGGAAGAGCTTCAGGTCCCGAGTGAATGTGACCAAGTTAGTCAGAACCCACTCGTCATTGTAAACTTCCTCCTCCTTGAGGAAGTGGCAGGTGAGCTTGTATACGTGTGTGATTTCGGTTCTGAGGAGATCCATCTTGCGGTTGCGTCTCGGGCTGCTGTTGGTGCGTTGGTGGATGCGAGCGCGGGCCTCGTCGTTGCAACGCGAAACCTGGCCTGCCAGCTCCTCCAGTAGAGTGCGATATATGTGTATGTTGATCGACCCCATAGCCGAGACGACTGCATCCCTGACGGACGCCGAGGAGACGGACAGGAGCGGGATCAGGTACTTGAACAGGACTCTAGCTGAGACAATTTTGTCCGCAGAGGCTGGCTTGGATGTCCTTCGGCTATGCTGTGTGCCTTGAGGGTTGGCGGGGACGACGCTCCCTGGGTCGGCCAGAGTCGTACAGGCGAATATCAGGTAGAACTTCCACTGTTCCACAAGGATCTCCGGCTGTGTCGTTGGTGTTCTACCAGCGACGCGGGCGCTCCCGGGATCTGATCCGTAGTACAGCCCCCTAGAAGGTTCCGACAAGAGCACGATGGCCTTGTACATCTGCAGAATCCGGTTGCATATTAAGTCACGGCCAATGGTGACTGTGAAGGGGCACTTTTCGTACGCGATGCGGATAAGATTAGGGAAGAGCTTGAACCACAGCGTCGTGTCGTATGACACGTCACTAGTACACAGCTCTACAAGAGCGCCCCGATTATTGCTGTTTTGCATCCCCCTCTGGAGTCTGCTTCTCTCCGCGACGGAAAGACCCTCGTCCTTGAAGTTCATCACCTGCATCGAATCGTTCTCTAGGATGTCGATAACTCTTAAAGTCTCCCTGTCTTGGTTTTGGAGCGCTCTGTCGAAGTCGGTGATGAGTCGAAGGACGGTGATGGCAAAGTACCGCACTCTCCTAGACTGCGAACACAAGAAGAACAGCCCGTGAGCCTCCGCCTGGTCAACTTCGGCCCAGATACCCGACAGATCGAGCTTTGCGCCGCGCTTGTCGCTTGTCTCGAGTTGGTCAAGCGAAGCATCGCGAGTCTTTCGTCTGATCTCCTCAATCCATATTTGCAGCAACTCGACGTACAGACGAAGCGTGCTTTCGATGTGACCCGGGCCAAGCATTCCGCCATCAGACATTGTCGAGTACCGGTCGTCAAAGTTGAAGATGAAGCGAGCAAATCCCATAGTGACTTGCTGCGCATGGGCTTGTCGGGCTATAGCTTTAAGTGATTGTGCCGATGAATAGGCGATGTTATATTGCACGTGAGCAGTGCCCGTGCAAAGTAGGTTAATCAACGAGTTGAAGGGTATATCCGCAGAGAGGCAACGGGGCAACGCTTGAACGGCAACATGCAAAAGCTCATAAAACGCCTGTTTGTGGTCGGCGGGAGGCTGGTCATCTCGCCGCGCAAAGTTGAAAGTGTCTGCGATTGGGGTCTTGGGGCCAGGACTGCTGAACTTCTCGTCCAGCACAGCCTGGCCTCCAAAGGTGTTGTCGCAGATGATGGTGATCTTTCCAAGGATTTCGCAGAACTTGTGATAGTACTCCTTGACCACGTCATTCAGAGCGGATGTACGCACGGGGCGGGAGAGTTGTTCGCCCTCTCCTGACGCTCCGGTAAAAGCCATGGGCGAACCATGGTGAGGCGAGACCATCATAGGGGACGGCGGCATGCGTTCACGTTCGATTGTAGGCGGCGGCGGAAACGAACTCGGAAAAGGGGGCCGGCCTTCGTCCCCCCTCTCAAGGTCCAACATGATGGCCAGGAAGGCTCTGATTCCAATCACCATCCGGTCCGGATCGAGCTGTTCGACCCTCAGATCCTTGTTGGAGACGAACAGCTCGGCATTGATCAGGGGGAAGATGACATGCTTAAAGCAGTACTCTGGGTGCTTGTACCCGATGATTCTAATGATCTGGATGATGGGTTCGGCAACGGCCGAGTCGGATGCAATAAGGCTACGCTTCGTTGGCGGCAAAACCAACTTCATCACTTCATCCAGCTTTCTTGTGGTATTGGGCAGTGTATCGTTCGTTCGGTATAAGTATGTCCACAAGAGCCGCGCAATCACCTGGAGACACAGTGGTCGTGTGAAGCGGTCTTTGAGCTTCGGCTGCAGCGGAAGAATCAACTGGAGCCATTGGGACCCAAAGGTATCCGGGGGGGATACGCAGAGCAGCGTGGCCGTCAGAGGGAAAGCGAAGCCCCAGTGCCGGGGCTTGATGAACATCTGCGCAAGCCGGGGACCAATTGATCCAAGGACCTCGATCCATTTCGGATGAGCCAAGTCTTGGTTCGTCGCCTGGGCAGCGACGGTGAGCAAAAGCGTCTCGAGCACCTGGCAGAAGGCTGTCTTGACACGCTGGCCGTGGGATCGATGGAAGAGGCGTCCGACCGCCACCATGAAGTCGCACGACTGTTCCCAAGCTTCCGGGTGTGACATGTTGACCTTGAGGTGCTTCATGCCCCCGAGAACCAGCTCAATCTTGCCTTCAGCGTCCCGGCCTGCTGGGGAGGTCGGGCTTTTGGCGACCAGCTCCTGGAGAGAGCGCTCCAGGTCGCCGAGAAATCTATCAGTGACGCCCCTGAAGTTGATCTCGCTCATCGCTCCGAGAAGCTGAGAGAACAGGTTCCAGTTTGCGAGCTTCAAGGGGCTGACCATGAGCTGGTCGGTGTCGGCGATCTTCAGTTGACCGAAGATTATGCCCTCAAGCTTTTCTTCCATCTCCAACGTCAAAAAGGGGAGACTGGTCTGGCTGATGACCTCCAGCAAAACACGGCACAAGATATAGATTGAGACTGTCGAGCGGCGTTCCGCGTGGGCTACAAATTCTTGCTTGGCAGCGAGTGACGTCTGCGGACTCGCCAAACCATTGTCCATGGCCCCGGGTAAGGGTTGAACGGGTTCGGTGTTTCTTCGCTGGAGGAGGACGGGCGCGGCGCCTTTCGACTGTTGCAACTGGCTTCGGGCCTCGTTGGCTGCATCGCTCTTGCTTTTCCTCCACAGCATCATGGAATCTATTAGGGGCTTCGGACGTGGGCGTGCGATGTGGCCCAAGGCAGTGATGATCTGGTCGAAAGATGGATCGACTCCTGGGCCGCATATTTGCTCGACTTGTGGCTCGGGTTCAAACGGCACTGTGATGCAGTCATTGAGCTTCTCCTCGGCTTGGGCAATAAACTGGGCCATGATTGTCAGCGACTTGGGCGTCAAGAGAAAGCAGCACAAGCAAAACTTACGGACGTGAAGAGCACATGCAGGGCGTACTCCCCAACTGTCTTTTGCTCATCCCTGTGGTGTTTGGAAGAATGAGAGTGGTGGTGCGTGTGTTCGCGCCTCGACTTGCTATGCATTCGCTCTAGTTTTCTCTGGGTTTGAGAGAGGGATGAATTGGTGAAGTCTGTCGCGGAAGAGGTCCTCTCAGGCACCTGATGACCCGAGTTAAGAGTGGTGCCTGACAAGGCGGTGCCGGACCGCGGCCCTGGGGGCGCGTCCGGCTCCATGCGGCCAACGGCATGCATATCGGGGCGGTCGGTGGCGGTGATGGTGGTGAGGCTCGCGCCAGCAGCAGCGATTATCTGCGGGCTAAGGGGGCTTGAAGAAGAGCTGGCGTGACTTCCATTTCTAGAGTGTTGTATTCCGTGGACTATAGAGGTCTGGCGGTGGTGGCCGTAGGACGCGCTCTTCGGGTCGGCAACTCGCTCGGCTATACCGCCAAGGCCAGAGCGGGAGTGGGCGTGGTTGTGTGCCCGCGGCGAAGTGAGGCTCGAGCCGGAAAGGGGTGGCAACGGGCTCAAGAGCTTTTCGATGGAGGATTCGCGCGAGTGGGCGACAGAGCGAGGCAGCGGAGGATAGGGATGGGGTTCGAGGGCGGCGGGCCTAAGGGTTCGGTCCCAATCGATGTCCTCTTCGTCTTCTTCGTCGAGGGTGGTGACGGATCGCGGGGAGAACTTTAACGGGTCCTGCAAAAGATCAGGCAGCGTCGTCTGGGACGGAGCTGGCAAACGAGACGACGTCTTATGGTCAGTTACAGGATTTCCCCTCTCTTGTGAAACGGCAGGCAGGGCAAAGGAACGGAGACGGGGTGGAGGATTGGATGCGTAAGGCGTTTTGAAGGTGCACAGATATATGATCTGGCACACACCAGCGCAAGACCAGGCCGGGAGAAAAGTTGCGACGAAGACGAGGAATAGGCAAGATGGGAGAAGGGGGGGGGGGGGCACAAAACTGGCAGGGCGCGACGCTAAGCCCAGGGCCGACGAGTAAAGAGAGAGACGGAGCACGGCACAGCAACGATCAACGGAAACCGGAGCTGGAGCTGGAGCGGTGCAACAAGTCAGGCCTAGGGCAGAGCGAAACGGCAAGGGCTTTGTGTCTGTGGGTTTGTTTATGAGTGTAGTGTAATGCGGTAGCGCGCGCGTGGAGGCAGATAAGGTAAGGCGGTGGTGATAGGAATAGCAACGGTGGTGTAGCAAACTTCAAGCTAGCAGGCGTCGGACGAGGCGAGGCGGGAGACCAGGCCATAACTACGGCAGGACAGGGAGAGACGGGACGAGTCGCGACGAATAGATAGGAAGAGACGAGGGCAGCGAGCGCATCAGCATGTGTGCGGCATCCCGTCGTACGTCAGTTGCGCGCGCGCAGACGGCAAGGGACGGCAAGGCAGGGAGGGGGGGGGGAGGGGGCAGGAAGTCCAGACGGACGATGAAAGACATCTCATCCCGTCCGTCCAGTGTGTGTATATGTCTGGACATGTGCCGTAAGGCCTATGCGAAACCGCAAACTGACACTCACCCATTGTTGCGTTGAATCGAGTCCCATGTTCCGGGTCCTTACGCCATTCGGGTGATTTCGTGCACCTTGGGCGGTGGCCGCCACGAGCAATCAATCCGAGGAGGATGGGAGGGGATCGAGTTGGAGGGAAATAAGCGGCGGTGGCGGGAGAGCTTGGAAGATGGAGGATCGGATTCGGAATTGGGCCGTATTTTGTGGTGGTGTCGATGGTTGGTGGGAGAGTTTGTTTTAGTTCAATGATGAAGATGGGAGAAAGGGGGACCAAGAGAAAGCAGGTTGACAACAAGAGGGCAAAGACAGGTAAGTAAAGAAAGCAGTCGAATCAATAAATTCGCGTTGATCAATAAAAGCACCCAACTCCAGAATTACGGTCCATCTGTCCATCCATCAATCAATCAATCAATCAATCAGTCGAGTCGGCCGGAGCAAAGCACCAGCCTCCCTCTCTCTCGCCCCTGGTCGTTGGCCACCCAGTACCGCAAAAGCCAACCAGCAAAACCCGTCAATAACCAAGCAAGGTTAATACAATAAGTAAGAATATAATAATACCAATGGCTGGATTATGTGGTAATTCTGCGGGCTGTTCTGGTCCTCTGGAACGGTACCGGGCCTGCGAGAAGGGCACGAAGATGGTCGCCATTGGCCGTTGGAACATTGGACCAGGGGTGCAAAAGAAGCATGAGTTATATCACTGGGGTGTGTGCCCTTCGTTAGATAGTTTGGATGTCTATAAAGTACCTCACACGTTTAAACTCTTGGTAAGGTACCTTGATGTTGTTTATGCCTAAGGTATCTAGGTAGGTAGGTAGGAATCCGAACTCCGACCTGCCACACGCCCCGTAACCTCCTTCCTCTTTATTGATCTCTCATCGACCGTCCACCACCACCACCAACCACACGGTTCAACCTTTCTCTGCCCTGGCGGTTCAATTAACCCCAATTTGACCCCTCAATGCATTGGGGTGCCTTGAGTGCCGGGACGTGTCGTATCGACCCATCCCTGAGTACTCGTACGAACCCGCAAGCACGATCGGGTTCTGTGCTGGTCCTAGTCATGCTTTCTCTCTCTCTGCTCCTGATCCTCAGCCACTGCTGCCCAAGACACAACCAGCGACGAGATGACGCACGCAGGCCCTGATATCAACATCTACGCTGCTCATTCAGGATCTGTATCTTACGGCGTGTTGCAAGGCTCTTCCGCGCTCCGTTGCTGGGCCTATCATCATTGATCCGCAGCGATCTGCCAGAGGGATTTACCGTCCTCCAGAAACGACCTCGACATGGAGTCGGTACCTATAAAGTCAGCGTACATGAACTATTACGCCAACCATTAGCCTGTCACAAGCGGATGCGCCTACGTGTCTTGCGATGTGGCTTTATGATGCATACTCCAGGGTCCTTATCCCCGAATCACCAAAGACTACCACCTCTTTTTCGTCTTTTTTTTTTCTTCTTCTGGATGGCATGCGCTGGGGCGACATGGGTCAGTATGCAAGGGCCGCAGCCAATCACTCGTCCCCAACGGCTGAAAAGTATGTATGAGGATCGCGCTCAAGGGGAGCCGAGCATTCGTCCCTGGGGGTTATGATCCCCCTCGCTCGCTAGGAATGGAGGCCCATCTAATCCAGCTGAGCCGTTCGTTGCCTCTGCGAACGCCCATCACCTTCCGAGAGGTTTGCTTGTTCTGCCGACCGCAGGCGAAGATTGAAAAGGAAGCGTGTTTCGTCGACATCAGCCAAATGAATGGACAGTCTGGAGCCAACGACGTCACTCATTGGTCTGGCGAAGCCCCGACAGCAATGGCAAAAGGGCCGCAACTTCTTGACTGAGGGCAGGAAAAGACGTGGTATATGCAGGCCGGCCATTGCGATTGTCCGCTGCACACAAGGGTTATAATATCCGGGCAATGCCAATCCCGGCCTCTGCCTCGAAACGGCACCCGACCTGTTCTGGGCGAGACCGGGTTTCCGGCTACGACAGGGAGTGTAGCTGGATATGTCTTTTTGTCTTGACCTACGGATGCCTCCCACTGATCAGTATGCTAGCTCTTACTCAGCTTCATTTGCATGCATGCCAGCGCAAGTACCGTCACAACGTTGACGACTACTCCGGTTTATCGATATGCCCTCCTATTACGAGTGTCCCGGCTGTCCTACAGGAACGGCATCGTGCCATCCCGGCGGCTACCGGTGATTGAGGTGATACGTGACGGATTTCGTACAGAACCAACACCGATGGGGATGTGGTTCGCGTGAAGATTTGAGTGGATATCTGACACGGAATATTGGTCAAAGTCCGAGACTGAAAATACAGTGACACCTGCACCAGCCCACCGAGGATCATGGGAATAGCGGACCTTCGGAAGGGCCCGGTGCGCCGTGGTGCCCTCTTCCCGTCGGCTCCACTGGGCGGACGGAATGACGGTGGGCGAAAGCCGGCCGAGTATCAGAGTAGCCCCCGCGCCTGGGCAGATGGGTATGTAGGTAATATGTCGGGGGGTGTTTCCGGCAGTGTGCTGTGCGTATTCGTGTTCGCCAAAGTTAGCCCCCATGACGGATGACTCATATAGTGTCGTGCCTCGGCGTCAATCACAAGCGAGCCCGCTGAGTGGACGATCGGTTGTGTCGCAAGCATTTGCAAAGAAGTCAAGAGAAGCAAGCAAGCGTTGAGAAGCAGTGCGGGTGTGGTCGCATTGCTAGGCCGAATGCCGTGTAGCGACGGCGACTGGTTTGTGGCCAAAAGTGTGGCTGTCATGGATAATGTTGCGGCCCCAGGATGGCCCGCGATGGTCAGGATGGTTTCCCTTGCGAGGAGCCCGAGGAGACGGGCAACCGCGGAATGGGCCAGCGCAATGCGCACGTTCAACAACCGCAGGTAGGTAGCTCGAGGACATGATACAGGGCGCAAGCGTCCGGCTGTGAGAGTGTCCGTGGCAATGCAACCAAGGGCTGGCCGCATGAAGCTGTGGACTGGCATGGTGGGTAATGTCTTCGTTGTCGGTCGTCTTGCAACCCAATCGACGTCGGGTTGACTATCCCCATCAGGGTGTGTACGGGTATCTTTGCTGGTCCCTGGTAATCGAGCGAGAGGCAGTCAGGCCTCATCCTTGATGCTCCTACTATGCTAGGCAGATAGCACTTGACTCGAATCGATGCGCATCAGCCTGCCCTTCCTTTCTTTACTTATTTACTTACGAGTACAGTAAAGAAAAATACAACAAGAAGACACCGTGGAGGCCCGGATTCTGAAGAGCTGCTTCGCCAACCCCGACCGATTCTGGTCAGTCCTGCGACGGCGCAGGCTTTTAAAAGAACAAGATATGTTGAATTGCCGACGCTAAGCCCAGGATACATAGTAGGAGGTAGGTAGGTAGGTAGGTAGGTAGTGTCGAGGCCCACTTCTACGGAAGGCCCCAAAGACCGTAGAGACAGAATGCCCCACGCTGACTGGTTGGCCCATCTTGGAGTCTGACTAAGCTACCATGCGAGACGGACGGACGGACGGACAATGTATCTGTTTACCCAAGTAAGGTCAGTGACGAAGGGAGAGAGATACGGCGGAGGGAAAGCGATGGGAAGCCGAAATGTGCGGTATTCGCTTTCGATTCCCAACGGACCTACCTGACCTGTTCCTATTTGCTTGCGGCGCGAGAAACATGCCGTGGTAGATAGATACACACAATACTAGGTATAACACAATGATGGCGGAAATTCGCCCAGTTCCAATTCCAGTTCCGGTCCTAGGCTTGCGGCTTCTCGAGCTTCTTTATCGCACTCCCGTTCTGCAGCCCCGACCGTTTGTGTCCTCACTTGGTACCTATGTATTGACTCACTCACCCACTCATGGTCCCGTCCCCTGTCTCTCGCTGGCTTCTGCAACGTACAAACCAGCCTCTCTCTGCCCTTCCTCTCTCTGCCCTTCCGCTCTCTTGTCTCTCCTCTCTCTTCTCTCCCTCTCCTTCGTTCATGCCTAAGATCGCCGGCTGCGTTTGGAGTGGCTTCTCTGTTTAGATTTGTAGGTTTGCTATGTTTCTTTCGAGAACTTGCTACACCTGAGTCAGACTACCTTCACTGGTGCGGCGTCCTCGCAAAGCCCGGTACGTCCACCCCGCTTGGTTTGCCCCGAGCGTATCCGTACTCTGTGTACTCCTTACGGTATACCCCTACCTAATGGGTGTATCCACCTGTACGCTATCTGTTCCCGTCCCACCCCAGTGTACTTTTGAGTTAGGTTCAAACATGTTGCGCTGCGACTAGAGAAACATGGAAGAAGAGAAAAAAAAAAAAAAGCCAGGCTGGCGGTTCCCAGTGTCCTCCGAATCTCGGGATTTATTCTGTCTCCTTGTTCCCGCTTACCCCAGTATTAATATCTTTTTTTTTAATTCCCTCTCTCTCTTCCACTCCTATGCACTGGCCAATTGTCGAACCACCCCCCCACTGATCTCATGTGAACACGATTACAGTATCCTATCTACACGCTCCGAAGCTTGGATTTCTCCGATTTGCCCCAATAACGGCCTTCCCGCGGCTGTTAGATCACCCCGAGTCCCCGTTCAGGCACATACACGGCTGGCCACACGGCAATCCCGCTAGTCATTATTTGTCCCTCCTCGACCGCTGAGAATCAATCTCTCCTTTGTTTTTCTTTCCTCCTTTTTTAGACAACCGTCACCTTTCGCAACCCCCCCCCCTTTACCTCGGTTCCCCTTGCGCAGCACTTCGGAATACCGCTGCTTCTGAGTCGCAACCCTTTCCCGAGCAGCCCAGTTGAGTCCGACGGCCCAACATGGCAGAACTCGACACTCTAGATATCGTCGTTCTGGCCGTCATCCTGCTGGGTACGGCCGCCTACTTCACAAAGGGCAAATACTGGGGTGTGGTCAAAGACCCCTACGCCAACGCCCTCGCCAACGGAAATGGAGCCAAGGCTGGTAAGACGAGAAACATACTGGAGAAGATGGACGAGTCGGGCAAGAACTGCATCATCTTCTATGGATCCCAAACTGGTACTGCCGAGGACTACGCCTCGAGGCTCGCAAAGGAGGGCAAGAGCCGCTTCGGTCTCGAGACCATGGTTGCCGACCTGGAGGACTACGACTACGACAACCTCGACTCCATTCCAAGCGACAAGGTCGTCATGTTCGTCCTTGCCACCTACGGCGAGGGCGAGCCCACCGACAACGCCGTCGACTTCTACGAGTTCATCACCGGCGACGACGTATCCTTCTCCGGCGACAACGACCCTCCTCTGAGTAACCTTAACTTTGTCGCTTTTGGCCTCGGTAACAACACCTATGAGCACTACAACTCGATGGTCCGCAACGTCACAAAGGCGCTCGTGAAGCTCGGCGCGAACAAGATCGGCGAGGCTGGCGAGGGCGACGACGGCGCCGGCACCATGGAGGAGGACTTTTTGGCCTGGAAGGACCCCATGTGGGCTGCCCTCGCCGAGAAGATGGGTCTGGAGGAGCGTGAGGCCGTCTACGAGCCCACCTTCAACATTATCGAGCGCGAGGGCCTCGATGCCTCCTCCCCCGAGGTCTACCTCGGAGAGCCCAACAAGATGCATCTCGAAGGCACCGCCAAGGGTCCTTTCAATGCCCACAACCCTTACATCGCCCCCATTGCCGAATCCAAGGAACTCTTCAACGTCAAGGACCGTAACTGCCTGCACATGGAGGTCGACATCAGCGGATCCAACCTGTCCTACCAGACCGGCGACCACATCGCCATCTGGCCCACGAACCCCGGCGAAGAGGTCGACCGCTTCCTGGACCTCATCGGACTCTCGGACAAGAGGCACTCCGTCATCAGCGTCAAGGCCCTCGAGCCCACCGCTAAGGTTCCTTTCCCCACGCCCACCACCTACGACGCCATTATCCGCTACCATCTCGAGATCTGCGCCCCCGTCTCCCGCCAGTTCGTTTCCACCCTCGCCGCCTTCGCCCCCAGCGAGGACATCAAGGCCAAGATGGTCAAGCTCGGTGGTGATAAGGATCTCTTCTCCGAGAAGATTGGTGCTCACTACTTCAACATTGCCCGTTTCCTGCACTCCGTTAGCGGCGGCCAAAAGTGGACCAACATTCCATTCTCCGCTTGGATCGAGGGTCTAACGAAGCTTCAACCCCGCTACTACTCCATTTCCTCCTCCTCCCTGGTCCAGCCCAAGAAGATCTCCATCACCGCCGTCGTCGAGAACCAGACGATCGCCGGCCGCGACGACCCCTTCCGCGGCGTCGCCACCCACTACCTCTTGGCCCTCAAGCAGAAGCAGAACAACGACCCTGAACCGAGCGCCTTTGGCATGACCTACGAGATCACCGGCCCCAGGAACAAGTACGACGGCGTCCACGTCCCCGTCCACGTCCGCCACTCCAACTTCAAGCTGCCCTCCGATCCCTCCAAGCCTATTATCTGTATCGGTCCCGGCACCGGTGTCGCTCCTTTCCGCGGCTTCATTCAGGAGAGGGCCAAGCTCGCCCGCGAAGGAGACGATGTTGGCCGGACGATTCTCTTCTTCGGATGCCGCAAGTCAACCGAGGACTTTTTGTACAAGGATGAGTGGGAGGTAAGAGAACCATCCCCCCCCCCTTCCCCCCCGCTTTTCCACGATCAAGAACCAGAAGCTGACCCTTTTCAAAGCAATACAAGAAGGACCTCGGCGACAAATTCGAGCTCATCACCGCCTTCTCCCGCGAGGGCCCTAAAAAGGTCTACGTCCAGCACCTCCTCAAGGAGCGCTCCGAGGAGATCAACAAGCTGCTCGAGAAGAAGGCGTACTTCTATGTGTGTGGCGATGCCGCCAACATGGCCCGCGAAGTCACCGCCGTTCTCGCTCAGATCCTGTCGGAGCAGCGCGGCATCTCGGAGGCCAAGGCCGAGGAGGTTGTCAAGAACATGAGAGCGGCGAACCAGTACCAGGTACGTTGGCGCCCCAGCTCAGTTGACTGCGCTAAGCCACGAGTGCTTGCTAACGATGACTCTAGGAGGACGTCTGGTCATAGACTTGGCCTTGGTCGCAATAGGCGAGGATTGCAAAGAACCAACAAATCGATGCGATTGGGGACAGCTGCGTCACGTTACGCGAAGTCGAGTCGGCGGGGAACGTGCGCACATCGTCTATATCAGCATGAGACGGCGTATGTCATGTGCATATTGGAACGGGGCGGACCAGAGTAATATCTCGTCGATGGGGTCTTTGGCCCCGGCCCGCCCTACCTCCCTCTCTTCAAGCGTTCTGTCCACCTCCGGAGCGGCAGACGTGTTCGAGGAGCGGCAAAAGCGGAGCAGGACAAGGAGTGGAGGCCGGGAGTTTATATTTGGTTCCATTTGGCATACCCACCGCTCTTTTGAATTTTACGCTGGTCTTCTCCCTTGGAGTCTGTACCACAGATGCTTCGCTCAGATTATAGACAGTCCTTTTTTATTCATATAAAGCTTTCTCCGCTTCATCTTTTCAATCGCCACGTGTCCTGCGTCGTCCACCAACCTTCCTATCCGGCTAGCTCAAAGCAAAGGGGGAGGCGCGTGCGTGCGTACGCGCGCGAGAGAGATATGGAGAGAGAGAGCGGTCAAGAGAGTGGTGCCTAGTAGGGCCGGCAGGTGCAACAGGTAGCAAAGGTTCGTTCTCCACGGGATATCGCCTCTCACATCCTTCCTCTCCCTTGAACCACTTCCAAAAGAGGGGGTAGCGACGGAGGAAGCCAATCATATCGCGGGGTGCCCATCCCAAGGTCACTGATCACTTGTCAGATTGGAAGGGGGAGGGAGGGGAACCACAACCCGCTGCGTCCGCTGCGTAGGCGCGATGACACGCCTCTGTGCTCTGTGCGTGATTCCTGCTGTCACCCGGTGCATTCAACAGAGAGAGAGAGAAAAAGAGAGAGAGAGAGATTTGGTCGATGCACTGTCGAGTCGTGTGGTGGGAAGAACGAGGGCCACCAACCAGCGTGGCGGAACGTAAACCGGAACAGATGCCACAGCTCCCCCGCAACTGTCCCCTCTGTTCGTACGGGCAGCCCACAGCCAAATTGCGAACACATCGGTGAGTCGAATCGGTGACCGGGGGGCGTTGGTGATGCTGGGGAAGCTCGAGTAATAATCAAATAACCTCTCCAGGTTCCGTGCCGCTCCCCTCTTCCTCGCCCTCCTCTTTCTCCTCAGGTTTGCCTCCAGCGCCACCGTGAAGTTGGGGATCATGGGAGAAGAAACCCCTCTGGCCGGCATGGGTTTATGTCCCCCCTTCCCCCACGCAGAAAACTTCCGATCCCAACCAAGATTGCTCGATCCGATCTGCTGTAGCGTGGGGACGAACATGATGCAAGACCAGGGGGTGGGGAGGGAGGGGAAGCAACAAGCAAACGAGGGGAACCAACACGTCCGGGAATATCAATGTTAGCCAATGGGCAAAACCAGGTGGGCGCCAGAAAAACACACCCCGCGCTGTTCAAGATGGATTTCGTAACGGGTATGGCATCCCTGAGCCGTCGCCTCCTCTTTTTCTTTTCCCCTGAGCCCCGTGTACTCATTGTCTATCCGACCGGGCCCCGTCATCCCCATCGAGAACGCAGAGACTCGGCATTAGAAGCTAACCGCATCTTGGCGGTGGAGGTTCCAAGGAAAGTGTTCGAGACGTGGCAAGTCGCTGAAGCAGGGCGTGAAATGGCACAGAAAAGCGGGCGGGACTGACTGGTCCGCGTTCTTCCGGATCATCGTCCGTGTCTGAGTCCCGATTTGTGTCTTGTTTGTCAGAGGGGGGGGGGGGGGGCTGCTTCATCGACTGATCACTTGTACGTCCGCTTCCTGCCCCCCCTCTTTTTCAATCAAGAGGATTCCCTTATGTAGTTGTGCAGCCGAAGCAGTAGAGGCAGGATATAGCGCGTGATGTGCAGCAACACTCCCCACTCCCGCATTTCGTTGCAGGTTGCCATGACATGCTGGTGATGCCATCTTATTCTCATCTGCAGCTGCAAGATTGACCTCTGCCCCAATCAGGCTGCATCCTGGCAGCCCAAGTCTTATTCACTTGCTTACCGCCACTTTGGACGACGGAGATCCAAAAACGCCTGTCGTCTTGACAGTTGCTTTGCAAAAATGTGGCTGCTCGATTCCGGACACCGCCTGAAGCGAGGGGGTACTTCGCACTGGGCCCTCAATTTCCCGGTGTGTGCCAAAGGATCGGAACATCTGGATTGGCTGCTCGCTACAGTACTGGTTGTTCGGAGGAGCCGACGCGGGTGAAATTAGTGAGAGAAACATGGGAAATAAGGGCAGCAGGACGTGTGGAGGCCCCGATGATACTGCCACATAAAATCTTCAGCCTCCTCAACTCTCTTGCAACCTCGATCCAGGAGGTGTCGCACTCCAATCCGCCGCAAAAGAAACCAGGCCGGTGCCCCTTGTAAATCTTGGAGTCCGCTTCGTCTCATAGTGTAGGTAGATGGAGAGAGACGACGCCATCTCCTTTCAAACGCCCCATGATATTGCTTTTTCCCCCATCGATACTAGCAGGGAAGGAGCATGCTGGCCTTCAATTTGGGGCCAAACGCAGGGCGCCTATTCAACTCGGAAGCACACGTCTGGCTTGTTCCGCGGTACTCTGGGGTGAAGAGATGGCCTGAAGACCTCATGGTTGGACGGATTGCCTGTTTGATGTGTGTGAATGTTGCCATCGGCCCACGGCAGATGGTCGTCCTAAAGAGCTGCTTGTCAACCCTATTTCGAAACCGGCAGACGGAACGTACCCTGGATCACCCTCATGATAGCATGAACATGGACAAGAATCCAGGGATTCGGAACGGCTCGCCTTCCAGGTATTCTTCTGCCATGTGCCTCACAAGTTGGTCTCAGGTACCCGACACGCCATGTCTGGATACTTTGCGCTTCCTCCAACGCCAACGCTCCGGATCACGCCAGCTTCAGGCCATTATGAGATGCAGGCCACATGCTTCATAATCCGAACGCGGCTAGGGTCTGTTTCTTTCTCAAGTGAAAGATTCTCAACAAAAAAACAAAACAAAAAGAAAAGGCAAGAGGCCGATCGCCGTAGAAGAACCGCCTGCGGTCACCAAGCTGCAGATAACTTCCATCCGCCACCAATACCGGAGGGTTCGAGTTGGCTGCTTCGTCTCAGAAGCGGGTTGAACCCTTGATCCCAGGGATCGAGACGGCTAGTGGTCCGCCGGCCAGTGAAGTTCCAGAACATGCGTCCGAGGTGGTGGTGGGTGTCGGGCGTGTCTTCCCAAACCGAGTGTTACAGGCGATGATGCGGTTGCCGGCAGCTATTGGTTCGAAGTAAACACTTGGCTCGGTGGTGATCAACCATGGTTTGCTTGTTGGGCCTCTCCCCCAAGAGAGAGACATCAGACAGCCCGATTTTCTGAATCTCGGCCGGCGAGTTTCCATTCTCGACGCTAACCCTGTCTCAGATATCAGTGGAAAGAAAAGAAACAAGTTGAGTGGATCAGCACTTTATGACAACCACGCTTGGCTGCAGGGCAAAGTAGCGGGCCGCAAAGCAACGGAAGAGAGCAGCCTCCATAAAGACAAGCAGTGTTTCCTCCTCGACCGCCTCATCATCTCCTTATTAGTTCGGAGAATGTTATCCAGATAAGATTTTTTTTCCTTGCCCAATCGATCTTTTTGTGGGTTGAGCGGTTATCCGGTATTATTATGACAAACAGACGGCGCATAGCGGTTACACTCTAATATTGAATTTCCTTGTCAACTTGGGCACTTGCAGCTTCGTTTCTGGGGACATACGTTGAAGAAACGGTTCGACACAGACGCACGTTGCGTATTAATCGCACATACCAGGTCGTTGGAAGAAGCTTCGGCATTGGCTCTGGGCGATATAACGAAAGAGTAGATTTGAATTCTTAACCCACGGTTTGATCAGCTATATTGTTCTAATTTGCAGACACATACTGACACAACTTGCAGACTCTCTTCGTCGTTTTCAGAGATAACACCCAAGCATCACCGGTATCGGTGGTTCAGCGGTTACATAACGACGAACACCAAACTGAATCCTCGCGGATCTATCGGATTGAAAGATCAGGAAGAAACCCCTGGTTCTTCTGCTTGGTTTTGGAACAACGGAACCCAAATAGTTGCCGTTATAACGCAACCAAAGCACTTCCGCGACATCTGGCCCGGAAATAACGTCGTATTATCACGTGTTCCTCGTTATTATCGGTTCAGGGATCGTCGGCCTACTTCATACTACTCTCAATTCGAAGCAGACATAGTTCCGAAGAAGGACTGCACTGCCTGCTCCCTGTTGTTTGTCGCGATAACCTTCCTTCTCGAGAAGAAGCATTGACGCGGCAGAGGACTCTGTACTGCCGAGGAAATATCGATAACGAGGAAACTGTAAAAAAAAGAAAAAGTAACAGCAATTCGGTGACTTGGGTACAGACAGATTTAGGATCATTTCCAAGGTAAGACCGCCTGCTTCTCCTTGCCCTGGCTTCCTAGTGGCGGAAGGAATGGATGGATACTTCAGGGCAAGTTGCTAACACGAGGAAGTAGCAAAGCACAAGTCTAGTTCAAGTGCCCGCAAGGCTTCTCCTCCCCTTCTCAGTTCGACTCAGGCTTGCAGTGCCAAATTCTCATATTCTCCGCCTACATCGTCACCGCGCTTGTTCCTCCCCTCGTTGGCATATCTCCCCCACAGCAAGCATTTTCCAGTCCCTCCTTCCAGCTGTGCCATCAAACCGATTCGAGGCCAAGAAGGAGAGAGAAAGAATTCTGAGGTAATCTCTCCCCTCCCTCCTCTGCCTGTCCTTTATCTACCCCCTTTTACCATCATCTCTTCTCCCTCCTCCGTCCATTCTCTCCACCACAGCATCACCACCACACTTCTTCCACCACACAGTCTCTTCGACTCCGGATTGCTCCCGATAGCTTCTTCCATCTTTTTACTGATCACTCGCTTCTTCACAGAGTCTTTGGTAACAACATTTGCCATTGTTGACGTTGTCCGAGCCCCCCCTCCTGGTTACAAGTCTCTGTTCATCCACGGACAGCAAAGGTGTGTGCAACGACGTTCAGGTCCTGAACCGATAAGCCCCATTTCCAAGATTATTGCCCTCCTTCGAACTTCTTCTGGTCTCTTCCTAGACTCCCCGAGGTTATCTTTCATCTCTCTACCGAGCCTAAAACGTTTCCTTGGGCTCGAAATCCCCCGAGAGCCATCCTACAACCACATGCCCAGTCTCTCTTTCCAACATCTCCTCTACTAGAGAACCCTGGCCACCATCATAGCTATCTGCATTGCGCTCTTCATACGTCCGCAAATTTCGGGCCTTGCCAGCTAATATTCAAGCAGCTTCGTTACGCGGCAGCCCAACGATTCTTCTTCGACCTTGCAAGCCACTGGCCTCGTTTGAGTAGGTCTACAACCTCTGTCCACACTACCCGCAAACTTTATGTACACTCTCTTCATTGCTACTCCGCCTCTTTACCTTGATGTCTTTCCTTTCGATGGGCGCATTTTCTCTCAAAAATGGATCGTTGACAGCCGTTTTCTAGACTTCAGACATGACTATGTCTTATCAGACCCACACCATGGACCCAAAGCACCCCATTGCTTTTGCCGGTGCTGGCAGCCACCATATGCCCGGAAATCACGTCACGCACTTCTCTGAGAATCAATTGCCCGGCATGATGGGCAGCGTTGACAGCTTGAATAGCGCCATTAGCCAGTTCCAAGGCATGACCTTGGGCAACGGCATGTCACACAACGGCAGCGGTATGGGACAGATGGCTGCTGCCCACGCATACATGCTTCCCCAGGACTACATCCTCGCTTCTCATCTGCCCTCTACCATGGGAATGGATCAACTCCCTCAGGGTCCATATGGCCCCGCTGCCGGCGGCTACTTGGCGGCTCCTGGACAATTCAGCCCTTACGTTCCTTACCCAATGATGCCATTCACCCCTGGCCGTGCTGTCAGTGGTAATGCGGCTCTCCAGGACCGCACCAACCGAGGTCGCAATGACCTGCCCGGCCTCGAAAACCGTCGTCATAGTGGTGGCTCTTACACCACCACCGAGTCTGCTCCCACCACTCCTTTCTACAACGGTGGTAGTAAAAACGACAAGGTTCCTCGCGTCGCTGCACTCGATCGTTCGACCTACACCACGCCTTCTCCTCAGCAGGTTGGTGGCAATATCTTTGTTGAACCTGCTGCCAAGCACAGCGTCATCAATATCCCCGTTGACCGCAACTTGGACGAGCTTCTCAAGAAGGATCCCGCTGTACCCAAGGCTGTTCCCGCTGTCTTCACCCCTGCCACGCAGATGAAGACCTTGGACCAAAGCTTGGAGAACCGCATTCCTGGCAACCGCAACGTTTACATTCGTGGTCTTCATCCCACCACTGACGACGATCTCTTGTTTCGTTTCGCAGCCCGCTTTGGCAACGTAGAGACGTCCAAGGCCATCATTGATACATCCACAGGTGCCTGCAAGGGGTTAGTTTAACTTACGCGTTTAGGTGCCTTTTTTGTTTTGCTGATGAGATTTCAGCTTTGGTTTTGCCAAATTCTATGATGCCCGCGACTCTGAAATGTGTATCCGAGGCTTCCATCGTCTGGGCTATGAAGTTGGCTTCGCTCGGGTAAGCGCAGGCCTGGTACTCCACCCTTCTACATGGCTGACGTTTTGAACAGGAATCATTCAACTCTCGCCTCAAGGCCGAGGGTGACGAGGGCTCTACAAACTTGTACATTTCCAACCTTCCCAAGAGTTTGACCGAGAATGTGAGTTTGCTCTACTCATTTGCCTGCCTGGCATCGTTTATACTTGCTGACAACCCCAGGACCTCGGCGATATCTTCAGAGGCTATCACATCATGTCTTCCAAGATCCTTCGTGATAGCATGGGCAATAGCCGTGGTGTTGGTTTCGCTCGGTATGTGGATATGCCGCAATCTCTGGGTAATGGGATTTAACAAGATTGCAGTTTCGAGTCTCGCGACGTGTGCGATGCTGTCATTAAGCAGTTCAACAGCATCCCCATCGGCGAGGAGGGAATGGTGATGAACATCCGTTATGCCGATACTCCTAGCCAGAAGGAGCTCAAACGGGTGACCGCCGAGCGCCGTCAGTTCCGTACCAACGAGTACAACATCGGTGCATACGGCACTCCCCTTGTTGGCATCCAGCCTAACATGTACAACCAGCCGGCCTGGAAGCGTGCCCTGCACGCTACCGTCAACACGTGAGTGTGGTTGAAATTCAAATTTGGATTTGTGGTAACTGATTGTCGCCAGCGGCTACGCACCTCGCTCCATGACTGGCGGTCTTGATCGAATGGGCAAGATGGTCAAGTCTGATGGCTACCAGGCGGGCACTGTTCAGGGAATTCCCCAGTACGGTGACCACCCTCGCCATTGGAGCATTCTTCTTGACTAACTTGCTTGTTCAGGTCACCTGCTGCGAACCCTGTTGCCGACACCGTGTCTGACGACAGCGACGAAGGCGTAACGATCCATGCCGACTCGGCCACCCCCGTCATCGTCAGCACTCAGTCTTCGCCAATTTCGAAAAAGGAGCATAAGTGAACTAGACTTATCAGGAGCATTTGAATCTTCGGGGCAAATCATTGGTCCTTTGTTGCGTGGGATTCGGGGCATTCTGCGTCACAACACATGATAGTATGGTTTTGATCAAGGAACATTTTATGCTCTGAGGTAGTTGATACTCTAGGAGCGCGGAACTCGCATAGGCCAGCTTTAGTTCTTTTTGTACCTTAAGTCAGCTTTTTGGGAGGCACGAAATCCTCACGGCGTTATTTCATTCTTTGCCACAAATTCACAACGTTGTCTGTTGAGAACAACTTTTGCAAGTCCTATCAAGTACACTGAGCGTTGCACCTCGGGTTAATGCAGCAATTACGCCATAGCTGCACCATGGCGTGTAAACGGAAGTGCTGTAGGATGATAGCGAAGAGTTCATCATGTCATCATATCTATTGATGGCTTATGCACCGTCTGCTACTGCTAGTCTCGAAAACTTTTGGGTATCAATGTCATCGTTTTCCTTGCCACTCTTTGATGCATCCTCTCCCTCTCTGCTTGCTGATGGCTCAGTAGGTGCCTCGTCGACAACTGAACCCTCGCTTTCTTCCTCGTCGTCTTCTTCGGAGCCATATTCTTCGTCCTCATCGCCGCCAGGTTCACCTTCATCGCCCTTGGTTGCAGCTTGCTCCTGGATGGCCTTTTCCAGGTCCTTGGCCATCTTTTTTGTGAAACCTGAGGCCTCCAATGTTGCATCGATTCTTTTGGCGCCGCCCTTACCAACCGTCTTCTTGGCGTCCTTGTAGAACGGTCCTGGGGTTGTGCTGGTGAAGTGAAATCGCTTTTCAAAGAAGCGCTTGATGCAGTTGACGTCCCGATCAAAATACATTTCTGCGTTTTGGTGATCCATCGAAATCATTTGCGGGAAGTCAATGACTACCGGAATCAACTTAATGACCTCTTCCTCTCCTTCATCCGTTTTTGTGGTGGACGTCTCCTCCTTAATGAGAATGTTGAACTCGTTGTAATCGCCGTGGATGAGTCCATGCTTGGCCAAGCGGAGGAGCAAGTCGATCAGCTCGGAATAGAGGGCGGCGGGGTCTGGAATTGAGGAGATTTGGCGTAGGGGAAACGAGTCGATAAACGACATGACGATGGTGTGCCTGTTCTGGGCGATGGGTTCGGGGACGGGGAAACCCTCCTCTTTGAGAGCCTTCATAAACGCAAATTCTTTCATTGCCGCGAGCCTTGAGAGATACATCCACGACCCGGACTGCTTGTTCTTGAGGTAGTCTCGGTTCGACTTGACCGTCCGGAAGGAAATTCGGCCCAGTCTGTGGATTTTGAGGATACACTGCACACCTCTCTCGTCGGCCACCATGACTATATCGCTCTCCTTGCCGACGCCGACTCTGCTGCCGACGCTATATACTTCCTTACGCGTCGAGTACGTGTGCATCGCGAGGTAGTCAAGACCGCCATAGGTGAGACGGTAACCATCGTACTTAGCCTCCTTGACCTTGGCGATGAGGCCAACCTTGGCGAGATTCGAGATGGACCGGTGGACGCCGCTTGTGCCGCCGCGTAGACGCGAAAGTTTCTCAATGAGGGGCGTCGGGACCAATTCGTGGTTTTTGGTGCCTTGTTCGACCTGAGGACATGTAAGTGGGCTGGAGGGGTCATGGAGGGGTAAGGAGTCGAACCGCTGCGAGGACGCGCCAGTCCTCCGCGGCCAAGTGGCGCAGTGCTTTTGTATCCAAATGCATTTTGAGACGTTTCGATCGCTATAGCAGAGGTTTGCGAAGTCGGGCTAACGTCAGTTTCCTTTACTTTGTCGGTGGCAGAAATCTACGACTTCGATGATGAACTTCATCAACCCCACACCTACTGGAAAAGTTGGTGGGAGGACCATCCATCGATAAGGCAGCGCCAAATGGTTGGAGCATGCGGGTCACCGCCTTCCAAATATGGAACAGATGCTGCTTGGGCCCACATGGCCCGGAGCTTTCATTTTCCCGAAACCGTTTGCAGGCGGCAAGGCGCTCGCGTAACCGGGGAGCTTCGACTCGTTGCTTAGCTTTACAAAGCTACCACTATCTTCCATCCCTCACGATTCGAACCACCCGCGAACCTATCCTCTCCATCCGCATACCATCGATCCGATTTCCCTTTCCTGACGAGCTACAGAAACATCCGCGCTCATTCTTGACCGAAATCTCGAGGACGCACATACCCCGCAAAGAGTCCACACACATACGTCAAGATGGCGCAGGACAGCGAGAAGCCTACCGCTGCCGACAAGGGCAAGGGAAAGGCCGTGGAGGACAACAAGAAGGAAAAGCCCCAAACCAACGGCAAGAAGGAGGATGAGAAGATTATCGACTGTGAGAGACGTTTTGGACATAATCGGGAGAGTGGAGGGGCTAACTATTTGCAGCCGCGGAGGAGCTCAGCGAGGAGGACCAACAGCTGAAGAACGAGCTGGACATGCTCGTCGAGCGCCTGACGGTGTGTTGCACCACATTGCCATCTTTTACATCGATGTCTAGACACTGATCATTCGCTACAGGAATCCGATGCGTCCCTCTACAAGCCAGCCCTGGAGGCCATGAAGACCTTCATCAAGACCTCGACCTCGTCGATGACGGCCGTGCCCAAGCCCCTCAAATTCCTCAGACCACACTACGAGACGATGACGAAACTGCATGAGGAGTGGCCGGCGGGCGAGAACAAGACTTCGCTCGCAGACGTCTTGTCAGTAATCGGTATGACGTATTCTGACGAAGACCGACAAGACACTCTCAAGTATCGCCTCCTGGCACCCTCATCTGATATTGGTTCGTGGGGCCACGAGTACACCCGGCACTTGGCCTTGGAGATTGGCGAGGTCTATGGAAAACGGATAAATGCCGACGAGCCAACAAAGGACTTGGTCGACCTGGCCCTGATCCTCATCCCGCTGTTCCTGCAGAGCAATGCCGAGGCCGATGCCGTGGATCTGATGAGCGAGCTTGAGATCATCGACCAGATCCCGAATTACCTCGACGAGAACACCTATGGTCGCGTGTGCCTGTACATGGTGAGCATGGTCAACCTGCTCACCTATCCCGACAACGAACTTTTCCTCAAGACGGCACACGACATCTACCTGACATACAAGGAGTACGCCCTGGCAATGACGCTTGCCATCCGCCTAAACGACATTGAGCTCATCAAGGCCGACTTCGAGAAAGCCGAGGACCCGGCTCTGAAGAAGCAGCTTGCCTTCCTGATTGCGCGGCAGCGCATCGTCCTGGACGTACCCGCCAACGATGCTGACTCTCAAGCGATTGTCGAATGCTTGTCGAACCTTAAGTTGTCCGACCACTTCAAGGCCCTTGGCAAGGAGCTCAACATTCTGGACCCCAAGACGACCGAGGACATTTACAAGAGCCATCTGGAGAGCAGTCGCGTTGCGGGCATGACCAACCTTGACTCGGCTCGCCACAACTTGGCGGCTGCCTTTGTCAACGCATTCGTCAACGCCGGTTTTGGCAACGACAAGATGATGTTGGTGGAGCAGGATAAGGAGAGCTGGGTGTGGAAGACCAAGGGCGACGGCATGATGTCGACTGTCGCTTCTCTGGGTACTCTGCTTCTTTGGGATGTTGAGGCTGGCCTGGATAAGATCGACAAGTACACATACGCCGCGGAGCCCGAGATTCTGGCCGGCTCGATGCTTGCTATTGGCATCATGAACTCTGGGGCCCGTGTCGACTCTGAGCCCGCCTTGGCTCTGCTGGGCGACGAGGATAAACTCAACCACAAGAATCCTCTCGTGAGGACGGCCAGCATAATGGGTCTTGGTCTTTCCTATGCCGGATCGAACAACGAGCTCCTCTTGGAGCTGCTGTTGCCCATCATCACTGACTCTTCTCAGGAGATGCAAATCTCTGCCATGGCTGCTCTGTCGTGCGGCCTCATTTTTGTTGGGTCCTCGAACCCTGAAATCAGCGAGGCCATCGTCACCACTCTGCTTGACGACGAGCGCAAGAACCAGCTCACCGACAAGTGGACTCGTTTCCTGGCTCTCGGTCTCGGTCTGCTCTTCTTCGGTCGTCAGGAGGAGGTGGACGTGATTCTGGAGACCCTGAAGGCCGTGGACCACCCGATGGCGAAGCCGACGGCTGTACTGGCCGAGATTTGCGCCTGGGCCGGTACTGGCGCCGTTCTGAAGATCCAGGAGCTCCTGCACATCTGCAACGAGCACATTGAGGACTCGGACGAGAAGAAGGGCGACGAACTCCTCCAATCCTACGCTGTGATTGGCATTGCTCTTGTGGCTATGGGAGAGGAGGTCGGCCAGGAGATGGTTCTTCGGCAGTTCGGTCACCTCATGCACTACGGCGAGCCTAACATCAGGAGAGCGGTGCCGCTGGCCATGGGCCTGATCAGCCCCAGCAACCCCCAGATGAAGGTCTACGACACGCTGTCGAGATACTCGCACGACAACGATAACGAGGTGGCCATCAACGCCATCTTCGCCATGGGTCTTTTGGGCGCAGGCACGAACAATGCCAGACTGGCTCAGCTGCTCAGACAGCTGGCCAGCTTCTACCACCGCGACCAGGAGTCCCTCTTCATGGTGCGGATTGCGCAGGGGTTGCTGCACATGGGCAAGGGAACGATGTCGGTCAACCCATTCCACACGGACCGCAACGTCCTCTCGCGCGTGTCAACGGGTGGTTTGTTGGCGGTGCTGGTTGCTATGATCGACGCCAAGCAGTTCATCACGTCCAACTCACACTACCTGCTCTACTTCCTGGTGACAGCGATGCACCCCCGCTTCTTGGTGACATTGGACGAGGACCTGAAGCCTCTGAAGGTGAACGTCCGCGTCGGTCAGGCAGTGGATGTCGTAGGCCAGGCGGGTCGCCCCAAGACCATCACTGGCTGGCAGACACAGAGCACGCCAGTTGTTCTGGCGTACGGCGAGCGTGCCGAGCTTGAGGACGAGCAGTACATCAGCTTGAACAGCACACTAGAGGGCCTGGTCATTCTCAAGAAGGTAAGTGTTGGGTGAAGACTTGTCATAACGACACTGAATGGTGCTGACTGTGAACAGAATCCTGACTGGGAGGAGGACAAATAGATGGCTTTGGGGGTATTGGGGGGGGGGGGGGGGGGATCGTAGGTTCAGCTTTGAGACTGGGACACGATATACTGTATAGTAATTCTACGTCTATGAGTGGCATTCGGTATGGCATCCGACACGACAGATGGGATCCCACATGAATAGACGGATCAGCTAGTGCAATGAAAAGGCGTTCAAGTTTGTTACGACGGTTCCAGTGCATCGCCATATCCAAAGTTTTGATGGATGGCTCGTGACGAATAGTTTTGGTAGATGGGCGGTGAGATAGGCTCGGTTCAGCGAAGGGTAGTTAAAGATGGCAACAGAGGGGTAATCTTGACCCAACGACGTTCGTCTTGCCCCACATGGAAAATGTTGCTGGTACGAGCAGGCATGTCTTTAACCCCAACGTGTCCAAGGACAGGAGTTGGATATTGAAAAAGTCGGTGTCATATAGGCGAGCCGAGGCATGTCAAGAACAAGGTGGCATATTTGCAAAGATAGCATCGAGATAGTGGCCCTGTTAGATAGACACTGGGCGAGAAAGAAAGACGTCTTTGCTTGTACGTAATGGATGTCAAACCGGCCATGACGGGATGTTGCTTGTAGCGCGAGGGACGGGGATGATTGCAACATGACATGGGGCCACTGGATATGCGAGGGGCCCCCGCGGTCTCGGCCTCCCCCCTCTTCCACCACACCTAATGCTGATGAAGGTTGTAGTGTAGTCATGGAAGGGCGCGGCGACACGGAGGTCGCCCGGGATCCCGGTCGCCACGGCAGAACTGGAGGAGGTCGGCCGCCTGTCCTGGCTGGCATGTATGGTGCAGAATTGGAGGTATGTTCGTTCGTCCGTAAGTCTAGCCAGGAACGGCTTAAGCGAAGGACCCTTGGAAAGGAGCTTCGTTCCACTTCCATTCGTTCTTGCATGCACCGGTCCACAGGATGCGCCTCTATTTCCGTATTTCTAGATGTTTTCTTGTTCTTCTTCTCCTTTTTTCTTTTCTTTTCCTTTCTACTGATGGCCTTACTCTCCAGCTTGTGACTCGGGAAACCTGTACCTACACCAACCGGTCTCGCATCTTGGAAGGTGTTGGAGTCGCCGATGATACACCGGTCTCGGCACACCGCACACATTCTCCACAGCATTGACCACAACGTTGACTCACGTCAGATCCGGGATACGCAGTGCCGGAACAAGAGTAGATCATTCGATAGCGTAACCTCGCGAGTTTCAGACGCTATTGCTGTCGATCTTTGGACAGTCGGAAAGTGGAACAAGGCTCGATCAGCCCCGAACCTCGATCCAAGACAGTGACCTATCTGGGTTTCGCTGATTGTATTGCAACTTACATCAACATAACACAACTGGTCTGTGGCACAAAACCGACACCATGGGCGACGATCGCAGCATTCCTATCAAGGCGTCTTCGAGCCACGACTTTGTCACCCAGCTCAGCTCCTCGTTCCGCGTCGGTACACCACGGGCACAGGAAATATTGGCCAGGGATCTGGCAGAGTGCTCAGACGAGGAACCGCCTGACGAGAACGACGACGATGCTATCGGCTCCGTCTCCCAGTCCGAATCAGAAGAGGGTCCTCTCTTCTACCGGCGGCCTAGCGGTGTTGCCTTTGGCACCTCTCGGCCCGTCATGAACCCCCAGACACACGCAGTCGAAGAACAGCCGGTTCTCACCAGGGTCGAGAAGAAGCAGTCGCGCGACGCAGAGCGGAGTCTTCTCCGGGATAACCACATCCTACCGCCCAAGAACCCGAGGACGGACCATGAGCCATTCTACCGCCGCGCCTACAGACGCCTGTTCAGCACCAAAGTTCCGCTCGAGCCTCACGACGAGGAGGCGCCGCAGGTGGTCGTCTGCAGGCCCACCGAATCGACACCTCTGCTGTCTGGTACTGCCCCGGCATCAGGCGCTGATGGCCACGAGCACCTCAACGAGCAGTGGGATGCGGCAGTCGCAATGGACCAGCTCCGCACCACCTGGCAGCGCGAGACCAAGACCATTGTCCAGTATGCCAGCCCGCTCATCGTCACCTTCATGCTGCAATACTCGATCAACGTAGTCGCCATCTTTGCGGTCGGACGCATCGGCAAGATGGAGCTTGGCGCCGTGAGCCTGGCTTCCATGACGGCCACCATCACTGCCTACGCGCCTTTCCAGGGACTCGCGACGAGCCTCGACACCCTCTGCGCGCAGGCGTACGGTTCAGGTCACCGCCATCTCGTCGGGCTCCAGTTCCAGCGCATGACGTACTTCATGCTCATGTGTTTTGTCCCTATCGCCGTTTTGTGGTTCTTTGCCGAGGCAGTGCTGAGCCTGATCATCCCGGAGCCCGAATCGGCGCGGCTAGCGGGACAGTACCTGCGGGTGATGATCCTGGGCGGGCCGGCCTTTATCTGCTTCGAAGGCGGGAAGCGGTTCGTGCAGGCGCAGGGTCTATTCCAGGCGACAACGTGGGTTCTCCTGATCGCGGCACCCATCAACATCTTTCTGAACTGGCTGTTTGTCTGGAGGTTGGGATGGGGCTTCGTCGGGGCTCCAGCCGCCGCCGTCTGCACGCAGAACCTTTTACCGCTGCTGCTGTTCCTCTACGTGCGCTTCGTCAACGGGTACCAATGCTGGGGCGGTTTCAGCAAGCGTGCTTTCACCAACTTGGGCCCCATGCTTCGCCTGGCGCTGCCGGGCATGGTCATGATCGAGGCCGAATACATGGCCTTTGAGGTCCTCACTTTGCTCTCAAGCCACTTTGGACCGTCGTATCTCGCGGCGCAGAGTGTCGTGTTCACGCTGTGTGCCATTACCTACCAGATTCCATTCCCTGTGAGTATCGCAGCGTCGACACGAATCGCCAACCTCATTGGTGCCGGGTTGGTGGACGCAGCCAAGACTACTGGCAAAGTGGTAAGCTTGCCTTGGCGCTTTTCGTTTCGGATGCCGGGGGAAGCCCCGGTTCCAGGAATAGCATGTATCTGGAAGAGACGCTGACCGGTTCGATAGGCGTTCGTTGCGGCACTGATTGTGGGCATCTTCAACGTCATCTTGTTTAGCAGCTTCCGGTTCCACCTGCCGCGACTGTTCACCAGCGACGAGGAGGTCATCGCCATCGTGGCCGACGTGCTCCCGCTGTGCGCGATGATGCAGGTATTCGACGGCCTCAGCGCAGGAGCCCACGGGCTACTTCGCGGCATCGGCCGCCCGTCTATTGGCGGGTATGCCACCATTTCGGTGTACTACTTCATTGCTCTCCCTCTGTCTTTTGGGACGGCGTTCGGCCTGGGGTGGAAGCTCAAGGGCCTGTGGCTGGGTGTCACGATTGGGCTTGCGTTGTAAGTATCAAGTCCCCTCCCTTGAAACACCGATTCTCGAAAGTTGCCGAAGATGGGATGAGAGAGGAGGGGCAAGAGATACATATGCGGATCTCGACTGACTTTTGACAGGGTCTCATTGATTGAATATTCGTTTGTGTACTTTAGCGACTGGCACAAGGCGGCCAAGGAGGCAGACGCGAGGAACCAGGCCGAGTAAAGCAAGACATCTTGGCTGGTGTTTTCTTTACGATGCGTCACCTGCAGGGATATTCACTTTGTCTGGGTACGAGAGTTATGGTTTAATGCCGGTTGCTAAAAAGTATACATTGAAGTATACCTGCGCGCATGAATGCATATAGCAAAAAAGGCGCATGCAGGAACATTGCGTTTACTTATATTGGATAGTGCCATATCGCATCTGAGAACGTCTGTATCACGGCTTTTGTTCTTTTGTTTACTTTTCGTCTCGACATATGCGTCGAAGGCACGACGACATGACACGATACGTAAGGCGGCTTCTCGACCTGTTCATGCCAGAAAAGGCAATCGACGACATGCCACCGAACATGTCTTGTGACGTTGTACAAAATGCCCGCCCAGACGGGGACGGACGTCTGTGCCCCCCCTTCCATCGCAATGATGTTTTTCTTGCATGTCAAGGACCGTCTAGTGGCCAAAGCAGCACGAAACAAATACCTAATCCCATTGTGGTCCATCGTGGTGGGTGGGGGAGCGGAGAGATTGGGGGACAGCGACAATAATACTCCGTAGCGGCAAGCAGATAACCAATCTTACCTAATACTATGTACGATAGTATGCGGCCGAAGTTTATGACCCCTGTTAGGTAACTAACGTTTACCCCCCTACACAGGACTTCACTTTTGGTGAATATTCCCCCCCTATTATGATATCAGCTGTGGGGGGTAACATCATAGGGGTCATTAACTTCCCCCTGCCACCCTGTACAATGTATGAGCGGACACTCAGACAGCATCCCCGGGGGGAGGCCCAATGGGGTGAGCAGGGGTGTGAGTGGAGCTGCATTTTCCAATGTGGTCGCGCGTTGGAGCTTGTGGTCTTTTTTTGTTTTCGCCGCCTTTCGGCGACTCACCAGAAACCCCCTCCATCCCATAAAATCCTCGTCCAGAAGACGCTTCGCGTTCGCATCCTACACTCTCGTAATCCCGCACCTTTTTACGAAACGGGAGCAGCTCCAGTTCGGCTCCCAAAGTTTTGGAACGTTTCTTAGGTATATTTACTTATAAAGGTAGGGCTGCCAACCCCATTGCGCGCGCGCTCGCAATTTTACCCACTGCAACCAGCAACACCGAACACAGTAGATTAGGCATTGAGGTTGGAGGCTGACACCGTGACCGACGCAGAGAGAGACCAGACGAGCAACAGACATGGCGACCACTACGACGACGACCACCACGAGCAACGAGGCCATCACGGCCGAGTCTATCCTGCGCCTCTTCCCCGACATCGACACCAGCACCGAGGCCCTCACCGGTCACGACGCCGAGCAGATCCGCCTCATGGATGAGGTCTGCATCGTGCTGGATGAGAACGACAAGCCCATCGGCAGCGCCAGCAAGAAGGCTTGTAAGTGCTCCCCCCCCCCCCGGTAAGTTGAGTCACCAGGACCCAAGTATTACCTCCCAATAGGGTATTGCTTGAATGTTCGTGTTAAAACACTGTGGGGCTCAGGACATAGCAAATACTCGTGCGCAATGCGTGACGCGGGATGAACCCAGTAAAGCAGAGAGGGTTAACGGCG